TCTCCTATAATCATGCATGTGTCACTAATGCTAATGTGAAACAGCTGGATGAGTCTTTCAGTCAAGGAAATAAACCAATCAAAGCACAAGAAGAGCTGAACTAATTAGCCGAGCACAGGAGCCTTTCAATTTGAAAGTAGTTTGTAAAACCTGAAGTAGCTCAAAGTGTCCTCCCTGACATGGATTATCTGGTCACCCTAGCTAACTCCACAGCAGTGCTCGGCAAACTCCACGACGTCATCAGTACCTCATACATCATACTACCTCATACTGTAATTTTTTGCACATTAAGCTCTTTTGCACATTACACTTAAAGTATTTATTCTCCTATTTATTTTTTCTATTTTATTGTACCTTGGCATTTTTTGCGTGGACAGCAAATTAAGAATTTCATTGTACAGAGAAATGCACTTTCTACTGTACATATGACAATAAACACTTTGAATCTTGAATCACTTAGACCTGTGATGAGGCATTTTTAGTGCCCCCCTCTCCCCCCTGGTTGAGGTTACATAGATAACAGAAAACTTGCAGGCAAGGGAGCTCACAGAAAAAAATAAAAGTACAAAAGCTGTATGGGTAAAATTAGATGCTGAAAACTCAAATGGCCTAATTGTCAGTAGGCAGTGTGTGGCAGAAGGTCAACACTTCAAACCCATCTTCACCACATGTGTGGGTCCTTGAGCAAGGCCCTTAACCCCCAGCTCTCTGGGCACCCCAACAGGTGGCTGCCCTTTGTGAAGAGCTTACTTTACAAAGAGCAAGTTGTGGGAGGTGTAAAGAAAATTTCCCCGTGCAAATCAATAAAGTGCCTATTATTATTGTCGGTGTTTGCTATAGAGCACCTAATGTAGTTGTGGAGGAAAGCAGAATGTTATACAACAATATCAGGATTATGAGTGATAAAAATGATGTGGTGATTATGGTTGAATTTAATTTACTAGGGATACAGTGAGACGTGAGATGCAGTAATATGAGATGGTGGAATTGGTGCAGGATTGCTTTTTTACTCAGTTTATTAAATTTCCCACCAGGGGAGAAGCCATTCTTGATCTTGTTTTCTCTAATAACCAGGATAGGACTGGAAAACTTGAGGTTTTAGAACAGGGGTGGCCAATCTTATCCGCAAAGGGCCGGTGTGTATGCGGGTTTTCGCTGCAACTCCCTAATTATATTACTAATTAGAGGACTGATTGGCTGAAGAATCCTCCCAGTCAGGACATGATATATATTAGATATCACCACGATGTCATAGATATCTAACGTATATGAGATCAAACCATAATCTCATAATGATCTCACAGTGACATCACATGATGATATCACCTGTCTGATATCACTGTGAGATACCCATAACATCATATTGTACCCAGAAGCAGATTAAGTGATTTGTAGGCCAATAAGCAAAGATAGATACGCCCCTCCCCCATCCATCCATTTTAACCCATAAATATTAATAAAGCTAACCTAGGACCAAATCAAAATAGTGCGTTTACGCATTGTATTCATGTAGATACAGATGACATTTAGAGGTTGTGGGATAAATGCAGCTTAAATCGCCCCCAGCTTCCCAAAGGAAGACGCGCATCCTGTAGCACACATTTTTTAACAAGCAAGTAAATAACAAAAAGTAGCTATAGAGCCCCTACACGGGGAGGGGGACAAAACTGGATTTCTTTAAATAAATTATCTGCTGCGCTAACATTTTCCTTTGGCATATTTTCTAAATACTGATATTTTCTGTTCACTACTCTACAACCTATATACCAAGCCAAGGCGTTTATACACATGCGCAGTAAGATCAAGGAATAATCCACATTGGAGACTGAGGGGTGGCGGGTGGTCTGAGACACAAAGAATGACAGTTTCTGATGCCATTTTAACATATGGTGTTTTACAAAGATATAATAAATTAACGATAAAAAAGTTTCTTATAAGATTATATGGCATTTGTGGCGCCCAAGGCGATTGCTGACCATTGCCTAATGGTAAAGTTATATAGCCTCTGACTGAACCTATCACGCATGCGCAACTGAGCATAATTTTGGCGCTAAATACTGTACTACACAGCTCAGATACAGTTTTACATGAATTTAACACAAAAGGCAAAAAAGGTGTGTAAAATTTAACATTAATGTACAAGACATTTTATTTAAATAGTATAAGATCCATATTTAAGTGGGTTTTGACTTCCCTGAACTAGGGCCGGATGATAAAACGGCAACGATAATTATTGATATATAATTTCCGTCTATATCAATATAGCTGACGGTTATTATGCTTTCCATACGATTTAAAACAGATGGCTGGGGGTGGAGTGGGGGGACTAGAGTTGCCGCATTTGAGGGGCAAATACGACCGTGAAAACTGTGGATTTATTAAACAAATGACAATGTAATAGGGCAGGTAGACAACAGACAAAACCGGTGAATCAACAGGGCAGCTCACCGGAATAGCAGGTAAGTCTAAAGCAACCCATTTAATAAGGGTAATCCAGCGAAGCCGAAAAGGAAAGTACACAGTAAGATTCAGTCCATGAGAAATCCTGACAGTAATTAATCCACGGAGAATTAAGAAACGATAGGAAGAATGCTATCTTTTTTCGGGGATGATTAAAATAACATGTTAATCTACTACTCCGGAAGCAAAATGCCGTTTGGAAGCTTCATGAGCCATTTGCGATATTTTTGAGTCCATGTGGCTCTTTTGGATTTCCGTTTCAGCATACTTTAAACCCTTTTTTTAATATAGAGAGCTCTTTCTAGTGGGGTCAAAAATAGGCCCTACAGCAAAATGTCCCAGATGCATCATTACTACTGTTTGGCTAGTGTTTGTCACGTTCTGACGATAAAGAATATTTTATAACTACGATTAACCATCTGTTTTCTGATTAAAGATCAGCCTTTAAAGAGGGGAAAATAATGGCCTGGTATTTATCACGATGATCATCGATGTCGACTGGTATTGAGATTTGTGTCGTGAAGACATTTTTGGCGATACCGCCCAGGTTTACCTTTAACTCAGTTTTATAACCATTGAGGGAAATGGCTGTGGCAATTAGCATAGAAACGTTAATGGCTATTATCTGTTTGAAGAGTGCTAGTAATCGTTCTACTTGTCTAATTTTGATAATCTTTTTGTCAGTTATGTTTATCCGGAATTCAAAATCTGAAATTAATTTAAAGTCACAATCTGTTTCTCATTTGTTCTTTCCATATTCAGTTGAGAATACAAAATCGAAAAATAAAAATATTGTGCAAAAATGAGTGTGCAAAAGCAATGAAAAGTGAAATTTTCATATGATGAACACTTTAACAAATTTGTTTACTTCCAAATAACAATTCTCAGTGTTATAAATCATATGTAATTCAACTAACTGAAACCTACAATTAACAGTGTTATTGCTAAGACATATATTGCAGAGATAATAGGCATTTAGGCACTGAAGATCAGCGTAATGTACTGTAGAGTTCTTTAAAAGTCTTAAATCATCTTAATTTTCCTTTTCCAGATTTAAGTCATATGTAACATCTGTGTTAAGTAATATTAAAAAAAAAGATGAGTTCAGCTGCCAGAAAAAGAGCCCAACATGTTCAGCAGTGGACTAGGAGGAACACCAAAAAGCTTTTAACCAAGATCAACATAAACAATACTGAAGATACTGCAGGCTCCAATAATCCCAAACCTGTTGATTATTTTAGTGAAGAAGAAGACAATCTCACACAAAGCACAATTTTCTCACCACCTGAGACCACACAATTAAATTTTCATGACATCATTGATTCGGATGATGATAATGAATTAGACTGTAGTGTTACAGCTACAAAATGGGAAGACTATTCATCCATATGGAAGGCAATTGATGAAGCTGAAGGAAAATCATATTTGTCAAGTGAAGATGATACAGATAATAGTGAAGACACAGGAGTCACATTCAGAAATGCCCTAGTGGAATGGGTGAATGAATGCAGTGTGCCACTTACTACAGTTACAAAGCTTCTAACAGTGTTGCGGAAGCACACAAACTTTGACCTCCCAGCCCAAGCAACAACATTGCTTCAGACTCCAAGAAGTGTAGCTGTTTCCAAGAAATCAGGTATTACATTTGTTTGAAATATTGTTGCATCATAAAAATTAAAAAATGAACCAGAAAAGGGTGAATAAAAATGCAGAACCCATATCTGCTCACATATGTATGTATACATGCATATGTTTATACTTATACGCAATGGGATGCATTTCCTTCAAAGGTTGTGTGTCAAATGTTACCTTATTGCATAGCTGACCTATTTTACGTTTAAAGATAAATGTTATTAGATGATATTTTTTTAATTGTTGAATTACTTGTTTTTAGGTGGTGATTACACCTATTTTGGAGTGGCCAAAAGCATAAACAAAGTGCTCTCTTCAACATCCATGGACAGTATCAGTGTTGTAGAACTATGCTTCAATATAGATGGCCTTCCAATCTACAAATCTACTAATCTGTCACTTTGGCCTATTCAGTGTCGCATCACAAATCTACCTGTCTCAGGAC